GAGCTCACTTGGTAGCCCAGGCTGGCCTCGAACTCACAGAGATCCGCCTGCCTCTGCCTCCCGAGTGCTGGGATTAAAGGCGTACGCCACCAACGCCCGGCTTTGGTTTGTTTTTTTGTTGTTGTTGTTCTTGTTGGTTTTGGTTTTGTCTCTTTGTTGTTGTTGTTTCCAAAGGGTTTCTCTGTGTAGCTCTGGCTGTCCTGGAGCTCGCTCTGAAGACCAGGCTGGCCTCAAACTCACAGAGATCCACCTGCCTCTGCCTCCCAAGTGCTGGTATTAAAGGTGTGCGCCACTCTTGCTTATTGGAAGTTCAGAATTCTAAGATTATCTCCCAGTTTAAGGTCCATGTGTTGTGTTGAGACTTGGCCTCAACAAAAACATTTGCTTCTATTTTTCCCAGTAGCATTTTATATACTACATTACAGCTTTTGCAGGTCTGAGTTTGATTTCCTTGTCATGTGAGGTGACTGGTAGGAGTGGGGAAGGAAGTGATGCCACACCTAGGGATCTGTTCTCAACCAGACCAGCTGTGGGGAAGTGTGAAAAGGAACTTTGTAGCTGACTATCCTGTGTGCCTAGCTCAGATGAAGGATGACCATAGTTGGAGGTGTCGAGTTTTTTGGGACAGCTTACCTGGGCCTTACTGTGTCCTCTCATCTAGAGGGTACTTGCTTTACTCACTGGGCAAAGAGATTTTTCATGCTATCTCAGCTTTAAGCAGGAAAGACTGGTGAGTTTTTGTATTAAGGGATGTGACGTATTCCCCCATTCAGGACTTTGTTTCATTCACTGTGCCCAGATGATGTATTACAGGGTTTTTGTTACTTTAGTGGTGGGTTGTAAAGGTACTTAGCACTTTTCAGCTATCTCAAGTTGATGCTGATTTGGTGGTAAAGAGTATCCAGAGCCTTCTGTTGCCTTTAGGATCAAGCCTGATGAATTGAACGTGCAATTTTGCTAATGTTATCATAGCACTTACCACATTAAAAGTGAGCTACTTCTGGCTACCTTGGGTGTATGTGATCTGACTCAGTGTTTCTTTTCTTTTTCTAAAATGCTTGTAGAGAACCTATAGGATAAACAACTAACTCTGTGGCTTGGTTTGAAGCATTGTGATCAATTCCCTGTGACTTAGAAGTTCAGCCCACCCCTTTGTAATTTGTCACCAAATGTATAAAATGATTGTAAAGATTTTTTCATTTGTTCTCTTGTTAGTTAAAAAATGAATAGAATATTGTTTCCTAAAAGTTGTTGCTTTTCCTTTATTTTCCCATTTTTCATTTATTTAGAAAACTGTGGCTGAAAAGCAGGAGAAGAGAAATCAGGATCGCTTGAGGAGAAGAGAGGAGAGAGAACGAGAGGAGCGGCTAAGCAGAAGGTAAGTAGACCATCCTCAGGAAGTGTTGTTTGCTATGTTGTGACCTGGAGTTGTCAGTGTTTGCCACATACAGAATCAGCCCCTATTTACTTATTTGTTTATTTATTTTGACATGAGGTGTCTTAGTTGGGGTTTTTATTGCTGTGAAGAGACACTGTGACCAAGGTAACTCTTATAAAGGAAAACATTTGATTGTGGTAGCTCGCTTACAGTTGAGAGGTTTAGTCCATTATTGTCGTGGTGGGAAGTAAGGCAGCATGCAGGCAGAAGGAGCTGAGGGTTCTTACATCTTGACCCACAGGCAATAAAAAGTAGTGGTCTGAGACCCTGGGTGGTAGCTTGAGCATAGGAGACCTCAAAGCCCATCCCCACAGTGACACACTTCCTGCAACAAGGCCACACCTACTCCAACAAGGCCTAATACATCCTAATAGTGCCACTCCCTTTGGGGACACCACGTAGGTTTTCACTATGTAATCCAGGCTGGCCTAGAATTTGTAAAGATGTGCCTGACTCTGCCTTCCAATAGCAGATTAGGGCAGATGCTGTTTGTTTTTGTTCTTCAAGACAGGGGTTCTTTGTCTTGACTTGGCTGTCTTGAAAGGAGCTCTATAGGCTGCCAGGCTGGCCTCAAACTCACAACTTCACCTGTCTTTGCCTTCTGGGTACTGGGATTAAAGGCATGTGCCACCATTGCCCATCCATTCTTGAACCCCACAGAGCCAGCTCCTTTGACAGCTGGGGATGGAGCTTTTACCAAATAGGGAGTGCAAAAGTGGATCTGTTGCTGGTAGCTAAGCTGCACGCAGTCTCAGGGCAGTACATTTTTGTAGGGAAATCATCAGCTTTGGACTGAAGGTGTGGAGCCTTTGTATGGGCTTTGTCGTTTTTTTTGATTGGTCACATGGGACCACTGGGCAGACTTTCCCATAAGATATGTGGTTGGAATATGTTCCTGCCCATTGAGAAGTAGAGTATAAAAGCAAAAGCCCCCACACCAGTGAGGTACTAGGTACTAATGGGAGTTTGGAAGCAGGAAGAGTGGGTGGTGTGGTCTAGGCTAAGCTATCAGGGTTAGAACTGACTGACTGGACTTGGAGTTATGTGAGGAGAAGGAATAAAGCTGGCCTCATGGTTTCTTTGCTTTGCTTTTTGGTGTTTTTGGAACAGATTTTTTTTTCTGTATATTCTTCCTGGCTGTCATGAAACTTGTTCTGTAGACTCAGGGATCTGTCTTTCTTTCTTTCTGTACTGGGACTAAAGTTGTGCACTTCCACACCCAGCTGGCCTCTTGGTTTCTAATCTGGAATTGTTCCTTAACTAGGATAGCGAAGATGGAACCAGGAATAGTAGGTAGAATTTGGCTATATTCAATTTGAGATGCCTGAGAAGTATCAGGTAGATGTGTTGGATTTAATTTGAGTTCAAAGAAGAGATCAGAGCCAGAAATAACCATGCTGTGCTCTTTCAAAGGACACCTTTTTTGTTTTGATAGTATCTCACGAGTTGCTTTGACTGGCCTAGAACTGTGTAGACCAGGCTGGCTTCAGAGTCAGGGATCCATCCATCTGCCTCTAGCTCCTGGGTGGTGGGATTAAAGATGTTTTTTATTTTCCTGTTTAGGTCTGGATCAAGAACCCGAGATCGCAGGAGGTAGGTTTCCAGATCCACCACAAGATTCTCAGGTTGAATGCTTTTTTTATGCAGAAACATTTAATAATTGGTTTTTACAGCTTTACAACTTTGGTAAGCAAGGCTGACTTGTGAAGAGCATAGGAATTGGTTAGGGCTTAGCACAATAGAAACTGTTCCCCCTCCTCTCCTCTCCCCTCCCCAGGCCTGCAGACCAACTAGGAGTGTCCAGTAGGTTCGAGGCAGGATTTCTCTGTATCCCTGGCTGTTCTGGGACTGACTTTGTAGACCAGGCTGGCCTCAATTTTAGAGACTTACCTACTTGCCTCTGCCTCCTGAGTATTGTGATTAAAGGCATGCCCCATCACACCTGGCCAAATCCTATGCTTTCAAGAGACATTATCTAGGGGACAGGATTGGCCATCAGATTAATTCAGGGGAGTCTTTAGTCCCAAATTGTAAATTTGTAGGAGGAAAGAGAGAAATCCCAGGAAAGCTGAAGGCCAAAAGATACTAAGAGGGGGAAGAATGGGGACAGACCTTTGAAATATTGACCTTAGTGATATTGAAATATTGACCTTACTCTCAAAATCATTTGGGTTTTCCAGGTCACGATCCCGGGATCGGCGACGGAGGCGATCTAGATCTACCTCCCGAGAGCGGAGAAAGTTTTCCCGTTCCAGGTCCCGAGATAGACACCGGCGCCATCGCAGTCGTTCCCGGAGCCATAGCCGGGGTCACCGCCGGGCTTCCAGGGACCGGAGTGCAAAATACAAGTAACTACTCTGACTTCCTCAGTAGCTGCAGCCAGGAGCAAGCCCTTTCTCTTTGTGTTCCCAAGTCTGCTGGGGTCTGTCATGCTGGCCTTTAGGCCACTACATCTGGTAGGGACAAGGTTGGGCTTGTGGAGAGGCAGGATCTGGGGGGCTAGCACCCTGTGTTGGTGCCCTGAGGAATAGAGAGCGGCACCCAGTGCTTGGAATAGTGTAGGGCTGAATAACTCTCCCATGGCCCTCTGGGCCGCACTGCATTTGGCTGGGCTTTATGTCCTTTAACTTGGTAAAGAGCAGCTAAGGTTTTTGTCTTGAACAGGTCCTGCTTAATTACCTCTCCTGTAACTTTGGTTTTGTTTCATTTTGAGACAGGCCCTCACTTTGTAACCTAGGTTGTCTTGAACTCAAGATCCTCCTGCTTCAGCTTCCCGAGTGCTGAAATGAAAAGTGTATACCACCATGCTTGACTTATGTGGTTTTCCATTCTGTCTTTTTCCATTGTCTTTACATACTGGGTCATATTCCACAAGCATAACTTTATTGTATTCCCATTTGCTTTGTTTCTGTTAAACACTGAAGACTTTCTTTATTAAAAATCTTTTCTTTTTATTTATTTATTTTTTAAGATTTATTTTTATTATGTGTGTGTGTTAATGTTTTATGTCACAAATGTTAGTGTATGTTGTGCGTGTGTGCGTGCATGTGTGTGCGTGTGCGTGTGCGTGTGTGTGTGTGTGTGTGTGTGTGTGTGTGTGTGTGTGTGTGTGTGTGTACTGTTGGAGGACAAAAAAAGAGTCTTGAATCCTCTAGAGCTAGAGTTACTGGTGATTCTGACACCCAACATGGGTGATGAGTGTGGTCTTCCACAAGAGCATCATATCCTGACCTATCTCTCCAGCCCCTTAAACCTTTCAAATGTTACTTTTTATCAGTTACTTTAGAGACCAAATCTCACTCTGTAGCCCAGGCTGGCCTCAGACCTAATCTCTCCTGTCTCACCCTCCTAAGTGTGAGATTACAGGTATAAGCCACCATCCACAGCTCAAAGGATTACTTTTCTTTGTTTGTTTTAATGATTTTCTGTGTGATTAGTTAAGACACCAGATGCAGTCAGGCTTGGCTGTCTTCTGATCTGTTCAGAGGCACCTGAGGCCAGGCAGCAGGGATGGTGCACACCCTTTAATCTAGTACTGGGGAAGCAGAGGCAGGCAGATCTCGGGGAGTTTAAGGCCTGGTCTACAGAGTGAGTTCCAAGACAGCTGAGACTACACAGAGAAACCCTGTCTTGAACTCTCCTCACACCCCTGACAAAAAAAGGCACTTGAGTGTGGTGGGGGCATGGCCTTCTCTAGTCCAGGGTTGAGGGTCTACTTTACTGGATCCTGTGCAGCCAGCCAGAAGGAGATGGTAGCCTCTGCTGAGCCTCTGGTTCCACTTTCCCAGGTTCTCCAGGGAGCGCTCATTGAGAGAGGAATCGTGGGAGTACGGGCGGAGTGAGCGAGGGCCCACTGACTGGAGGTTGGAGAGCTCCAATGGCAAGACTGCATCGCGGAGGTCGGAGGAGAAGGAGGCTGGCGAGATCTGAACCTGGCTCTGGCACTGTAAATAGTCTAACAAACATTCAGCACAGCCTAAATTACCCTTTATATTTGCTGGATATAACTCATCTTTTGTAGTTAAAATTTCTATTGTTTGGCCCTAGCTGTGAGTTTCTAGAGTTGTTCAGAGCTGCTCCTGTGTTTGGGGTTATGTTGTATAGGAACAAATAAATTTGGCGGCTGCCTCCTGACAGCTGTGTTGGGGTGTCTGCTGTCCTCTACTCTAGAGGCACTTCACTAGGATCCTGCACTTGTGGAGATAAAGGCTGGTGCTGCCATTACCTTAGAAAACTGACCAAATATCTGACCACTTTAACTTTTGGTATCCTGTGTGCCAGGGCACTCCCAACACACTTAACTGAGCCAGATGTATGTGGCTTCCCTGCCTGGCTCACACTCTGCATCTCAGCTGCTCGTCTCCTCTCAATGTAAACCATAGAGCAGACTCTGGGTGAGAGGGGGCAGCCATATTACAAACTCATTTTCTTAGGGAGAGCTATAGCTATTGAAACCTTAGCTTAGGTGAGCACATTGCAGTTCCACTTTGTTACTTAGGTGGAATAAAGACATAGATGACCCCTACCTGCCAATCAGGAGGTCCTTGGGAGAGGGTTGCAGCTTAGGTCAGGTATCTTGGGTGGTTTACACTCGGGGTAGGTTTATTGTTAACCCCTGAGCATATGTTGTTGCTCACAGAGGACCAATGCCTTCAGATCAAAGTGAAGCCCAAATAGAAAAGATAACTGAAGCGTCTTCCCTTCACTTGTCCTGGGGGGGGTTAGAGTTTGTTTTCAGAGGGACCTGTAGTTGGTTGTGTTAAACATAAAAGCACCCTCTCTATGCCATGCTTGTTAAGGTTTAGGTGCTGTCTTGAGCTGTAGGTTTGATGGCCACACATAGGATCTTGAGATCTTATAGTGTGGCTCCTGGTGCTGCCCCAGGCTCCCTTTTATGGAGGATGTGTGTGGGTACCTGCAGTGCTGATGGTGAAACAGGCTTTCCCTGGTCAACTGTCTCCATATGAAAGGAGGTGGGGTGGGATATCCCTGAAGGACCCACTGGGGCTCAGTGCTGTGCACAGGTGCCATGTGTAGGTTTCATCTCTAGCCCTTTGGCCTCCAGGTGGGACTCAATTTAGCTTTGCTCTGCTCTCTTCCTGGAATAAGGCCTGTACCTGGTCCCAGGTGAACATTTTGACTAGTTGTGTACTCATTTTGCTTCCTGGACTCTTTAGGGGACATAACTGGACAGTTCTCCTCAGAGTCAGCATTATGTCTGGTTTGAATTCTTTCTGTACTTTTTCTGTCTAGATATAAATTTGAATGTGGAGAAACAGCTGTTTTATCGGGGTGTAAAGTTACTGGAAACATTTCTGTACCGTGGCCTGTGGTACCCTCAGAGGATAATTCCTAGGCTCATGTGGCATACTGCAGCTACTGAGGTACAGTAGGCAGACCTCCTGCTTAGGTAGCATCCTTTGCGTGGTCAGGGTCCCTAGAGTTGCAGAAAGGCCACTTGTTTAGTCTCTTGTGGAGGATGTTCTTACCAAAGGCAGTGTAGCATTTGTTTGTTTGGAAGGACAGTCTTGCCTTGTTACCCAGGCTGTTGAACTTCAGGGCTGAAGATTCCTGTCTCTGTCTCCAAGTAGCTGGCACTGATGACTGTGCCAACACATCTGGATGGTTTGTTTTATTGTCCTTTTCTTTTTCTTTCTTTCTTTTTTTTCTTTTTTTCTAGACAGGGTTTCTCTGTGTAGCCCCGGCTGTCCTGGAACTCATTCTGTAGAACCAGCTGGCCTCGACCTCAGAGGTCTGCCTACCTCTGCCTCCTGATGTTTTGTTTTCTTAATTGGAGTTTTCATGGAGAAAGGGAACTAGGAGAACAGATAACCATAAATCTGTTGTGTGTGTTTGTTGGTGGCTCAGGCCATTATGTAAGAACCTGAGGGACCAGGACAGGTGCCAATTAGGTTCTAGCCCCAAGAACTGGGAGAGCCAGTAGTTTTCATCCTGGCCTTTTGTGAGGCCGACTAATCAGGACCACCCACGGGTAGGGTACAGGAGGAGCAGATATGCCCTTCCTGGACACTGTTGTTCTTTGCAGGCCCTTGGTGATAGCACTGCATTGGGCAGGACAGTCCTAACTCTGGCTTGTGATGCTAATGCTTCTCCAATCCACCCTGTGTTTTCCCATGTCATGTAGTGTCTGTTGTGCATGTGCTCTGAGAGATGACTTCACATACAGGACGTAGTTTGTCTTATGTTGAATAAGAACTGAAGGACATATTCATATGGGATATATAGCAAATGGGGCAGCAGATTAAAATCAGGTTCTTCAATGACCATGATTGATTCTTAGGCAAGAAGAAAGCATTACCTTCTCTCTGAAATCAGATGAAAACAGGGTTTGGTAGCTCCTGGTCCCCTTGTGTACATGATAAGCACTAGGGCCTAGGGACGAAATCCTGGGTCTAGAGTCTGGCAACATTGGGCCTTTACCACAAGCCTTCCTGATATTGGAAGTTATTTTTGTCTTGTCTCATGTAGGTCAGCCTTGTGCCAATAGGTGGCACTGTCCCAGTTTTGGAGACTGTTTTAGATGTCCTGGGCACCTAAGCTATCTATCAGCACCCACAGCCCTATACACCCACCTTCCTACAGGGAGGGGTGGGCCTATCAGTGAATTAGGCCCCGCCCATGTGGATCTGAAAACAGGAGGATGAACATGAAGCATCCATAGAGAGTGTCTAACCATGACTACTCCTGCACTTAGAGGACCTGTGGTACTGTAATTCTCTGAGGGATAAAAGTGGCAGGTATTTGCCCAGGATGGCCAAATCAGTCCTCAATATTTGTGATGAATAACCCTAGGCCTGCCACGCTAGAGACCTCTTGAATCTCCTAATGTTCCATGGTCATTTTAACAGGCAAAAGGCTGGAACTTCATCATATTAACTTGGGGATCTGTGACTCTTGGACCTTGACCCGTGCATTGGGAGGATGGTAGGCCCTTAGTACTCAGGAGACATGAGAGAGAGAGGAGATGTAGGATATGCCCCTTGGAGGACCCATCTCCAGTTTAATAATGCTTGGAAGCCAGCACCTAAATGTTGTGGCTCAGGAACATCACTGTCGAGGCCCACATGGTATGCCAGACATCCAGAGTAGGGCCAGGCAAAGACCAACAGGCTGACATCGGCCCAGGAGCTGTGGGAGCGGTTGCTTACCTTGATGGGGCCTCTCCAGAGGGTCAGTCTATCAGCCACCGGGCTGTGGGCTGTAATCGGCAGTCTGTGAACTCTGGTTTCCAGTTTGCCATGACCTGGGAACTTAAGTTTTCTTGGGCTCCCAAGCCTCAGATTTTTCCTACCTGGCTTATATTATTAGAATACACGGAATTTTAGAGTGTGTTCTATCCTTGTCAGTGTCTTCTGCCTCCTGAGTCGTTAACACACTTCCTTGGGTCTGCTTACTAATAAAATGAACATAATTACTTCTCAGATAAGTAAATGGACAGCTGTTAGGTGTGTGACTCCTAGCACATGTTCCTTTCAGAACTGTGATATTTATGGAATGCCCATGATGTATTCCAGTGATAGCAAAATACAGCAAAGCTTCATATAACAAACTACTATTACAGCCATTTCTGATGTGTGTAAGTCAGTGATGTTTATGTATCCACAGTGTTGTGCAGTCATCATTCTTAGTAAGTTGCAGGATGTTATCATCCAGACAGAAACTCCAGCCCACTAGCTAAAACCATCCAGCTCCTTCTGAAGCTCCTGGCAACCAGGAGTCTGTTTTCTGTCCCTATAGTTTGCTCATTTGGATAGTTCACAAACGGATTCATTCACTGTATGGCCTTTGGTGTATTGGCTTCTACTCAAGGTGTCTGCAAAATTCAGTGGCATGATATAATCTTACATTTATGGGTGGAGAATATTCCATTCTAAGTGTGAACTACATGTTATTTACTTTTACTCTTGATGGTTAATCTGATCAACTCAAAGGGTTTTAGAATCACCATGAAAACACCCCGAGTGTGTCTGTGAAGGTGTTTCCAGAGGTTTCAGTGAGAAAACCCACCCAGATATAGGCTGCACTGTTCTAAACTCCGGGGTCCTAGATTGAATAAAAAGGAGGGAAAGAGCTGAGCACCAGCCGTCATCTCTGCTTCCTGACTGCAGATGCAGTGCGACCAGCTGCCTTAAGTTCCTGCAACCATGACTTCCCCCACCAGGACTGTACCCTTATACTGTGAACTAAAATAAAGCTCCTTCCCTCGGCTGATCTCGTCAGCTATTCTGTCTAACACCCACTCATCTTCATCACCTCCTGATGCTGTGTGCTGCTGCTGCCTCCTGGATTATCACTGATGGTCTGCGGTGGCTGTTATCCAAAGATGTCTCGTGTGCTCAGGGAAGAAGACACTGCTGTTGCTGCCCAGAATTCCTAACAACCCTTGAGTTGGGTTCATTCCTACCCAGACTTGATTGTGTCTTTTTCTTATCAGAGTCTCACTATACAGCTCTTGAAATCACAGAGGTCTGCTTGTCTCAACCCAGGGCATATAGGAGGGCTGGAGATGTCGTGATACCAAACCTGATACATCAAACCCAGGGTCTGCTCTGCAAGGTGGATGTGTATCTAGGAGAGCATTTCGTTATGCCTTCCAGCTCTGTTGACCTGTTTACACCTAGGTGGGTGCTAAGCTGGGCCAATTCTTGAGTATTTGTCTAAAGGTAGCAGGAGAGAAGGAAACTGTATTCCAGCAAATTCATGTTGAACCTGGTGGAAAGCCCAGGGTAGGAGTGAACTCAGCCAAGTACTGCAGGACAAGAGGCTGTCCACAAACCCTGGGCAGACGACTCTGCTTGGCCCCTCTTCCCCTCCCTCTGCTTCCCCTTCTCTTTGCTCCTTGGGGGACCTAAGTCCCAGGCTAGGGATGTGTCCCCCTAGACTTCAGGGGACCTAGAGGCGCTGCTATGCATTGTGACCTCTTTGGGCACCATATAGCAGAAACCCTGCATACCAGATAGTTACATTAGAAATCACAGCAGTAGCAAAATTACATTGATGAAGTAGCAACAAAATAATTTCTTGTCACCACAAGCGAGGAACTGTATTAGAGGGTCACAGCGTGGAAGGTTGAGAACCACTGCTTAGGTCCTGGTGGCTCCCCACACCAGTCCCAGCACTTTTGCACACGCAGACAAGCCAGGGACACAGGCTTCTTCCTACTTAGGCTTTATTCAAAGACCAAGAGGTACAGGTGCGAGGGAGGGGGAGGGCCTGGCCAGAAGGCAAGCCTGGCAGGAGGCAGC